GAGTCACAAGTCTGGCCAACTTTAAGTAAATATTAGTATTTGTCTGAAGTACATTGAGTGCTAGCAAAAATAATTATACATAAATGCCACAGCAACTAATCTAAATGCTAAATTTTTACGCTTTTTGTTTGTTTTTCAAATGACTGAATGAATGAATGAATGAATGAATGAATGAAGGCAGGCTATATTTGCAGCTAAAGTTGGCAAAAATATGCATTTTTTCAGACTCTGGTGTTGTCTGTTTTGTTCGATTCATTTTCATACTCGTACTAATGGTGCTACCTTTAGCTTCGGTCATTTTTTCCTGTTGTCACAGTCAGAAGTCTGGCCACTTTATTTAAACACTGGACGTTTCTGGGCCCATATCGGCTTATATTTATAAGTACACTGAGTGCTAGCTAAAATAATTCTGCATAAATGTCACAGGAACAATTCTAAATGTCTTTTGTTTGTTTTTTTTAATGAATGAAGGCTATATTTGAAGGTAAAGTTGGCAGAAATATGCATTTTTTTCAGACTAGTGTTGTTTTTTTGTCGATTAATGTTCATCCTCTGCTACCATTAGCTCACCAAGGTAATTCTTTTTTTCCTGTTTTCATGGTCAGACGTGTGGCAACACTCTGTAAACTCTGGAAGTTTCTGGGTCTATAGACAGCCTGTTTGTCTCTAAGCATGCGCTGATACCTGGGGTTGGATGGAGCTCTTTGAAAAGTGTTTCTTTGCTGTAAGAAACTGCATAAAGCGACTAAGACGGACACCAACACACACACACACACACACGCTGAGGTGACTGAATTAAATAAAGTAAGATTAATACACATTTCAGCTTAGAAAGAGCTCAGTTGCTCTCAGATATCCTGTCATTGAAATCGCTTCCACATTAAGTCCTGCATAATCCACCCGAGCGTTTCAATAACACCACATTGCAAATACTGTCCTTGGCATTCAGGAGACCTCTGCCGTGTCCTGTTTGGGTCTGACTGTCTCCGTGCATACTAATGAACCCCCGAACATCTGTCCCACTTAGTCCCGGCACTGATAGTATAAAAGGGAGCTGCTGATTTTTTTTCATGGGTGGCTGGTTTGATTAACCAGCGCGTTGGGTTTGAACATATAAGGCAGTTTATTAGTCCGGCAGTAGTGACCCCGACTCACCATTTTTCCCCCCAGAATCCATCCAGTCAGACAAAAAAAATGGTGCCACATGAATTCCAAATGGAGTATTGTTATTGTCATATTGGCAATTGGGTTTTGATTTACCCTTGATTGCTCCCGTGTATTAATTTGCGGTTGCATAATTGAGGATTGATTTCAAGTTGCATGCATTATTTTCGTAAGCTTTGTTTATATTCATGCCAACTGGTTTATTTATATTACTTGAATGGAATGAAGTGGAGTGCAATGAAGCAAATCCTTAATTGGAAAGACTGTGACAATCTAAACTTTCAATATTTCTGCCGCTTATTAAAAATGGCAAATGGCATTGCCTGTTATGAATGCCCAATGAGCCTGACCAAACAAATAACAATCACAAAAAAAAAAAAAAAACAGCAAATAACTTTGAAAAAGCGAATACAGCGGCGCGTTGGGCCGGTCCGGCTGACGGATGAACGACACTCTATAGTGTTTTGCTTTTTCTATGTTGCTTGAAAAGTGTTTTTTTGCCACATTCTATTAGCTGCGTAATTGCATCAATTCTTAAACAGATAAATAAGGGCTTGTGATTTCCCGTGTCGATTTATATGCTGTTTAATTTCTTAGTTTATTGTTTGGTGAATGAAAAGAAACCCAATCTGGTATCTTCAAATTGCCCCTATCAGTCCAGTCAGCAACAATATTCAAACTTCCAACTCACCAACTTCGGACATCTCGGGGACGCTGGCGAAGTAGATTTCCTTCGCGAACTTGGGCGCGTTGTCGTTGATGTCGTGGATTTTGATGTTGAACTCGGTGTCGGGCTCCAGCTCGCTGTTGGTGTTCCTGTCCAGGACCTTGGCGTGCAGCGTGTACATGGCTTTCTCCTCTCGGTCCAGCCTCTTGGTGGCGTGAATATCCCCGGACTTCTCGTCGATCAGGAACAGGGTGCCCGCCCCGTCTCCGGTCAAGACGTACTTCACGTTGCCGTCGCCTTTGTCCATGTTGGAGTGCAGCTAGAAATCAGAGAGACCCATTGAATACATGGGAACGTTGGGTATGGGCTTGTATTTGGAGACGTTGCACTTCATGACTGACAAGACAAGATACAACTCCAGTTTTTTTGGTGTATGTATATCTAGTGGCGACCCTACTTTGCTGTTTAAAGTTAACTTTCTATGCAGTTGTTGCCCTTGAAACCCTTCTGCATTATTGACATCAAATCAGTTTGCAATGTGGATCCAAGAGTATCAAACGTTCTTTGGTTTTAGACCCTTGTTGTCGAAGTTTTACCTCTTTTTCACTTTTGAAAGTTCATTTAAACTCTAAAACGTTGGTAACGGTGACCTTTTAGCTGCTCTTGCTCACCTCAAGATGACAACTTTTTCCGCTAGTTTCTCCCAATTTAAGGACCACTACGGTGGATTTAGTGGTACCTAGTGGTGACGTAGCAGAATGCAACCAATCAAAAACCCCACTTTTTTTCAAATTAGAAGCTATAATGGCTGCTACTTCAATTTGAAGACATGAAACACCCTTTCTAGAGCCGGTGTTTGGTTTTGTCTGTAGAAACCAACACAGCAGACTCCATAAAGTTGAACCAGTTGAATCAAAAACACAATATTTCGTCTTTACGGGTGATCTTACACACATTTCTCCCCTTAGATTTTTCAAAGAATCAGCCGAGACAGACTTCCTCGACGTTTCCGCCCCAGTCCAAGTGCACAAAAACCCCCCGACACCCCCCGCAAACTGAAATAATGGCGTAAAACCCACCGAGGAATCCGTTTTCATTCCCCCGAATCTCGGCACAGAACGGCGTCTGCTGGGCACCCGCGGTGTCAAGTGGTGACATACTCCATTACTCCAGATCAAATTAGTCTGAGATTTTTCTTCCAGATTGTGCCTTTGAAAAATGATGAAAACCTGACCTACAGCAACAATTGCTAAAATTAGTCACCTCTGACCTATCCATCACCTTGAAGCATCTCCGAGTGTCACCGAGGAGTAATGGCGGCGCGCTGTGACAGACACTTGATTCAAGCTCATTACTGTACTGGATCTGTCAGCAGATATATTTAGAGCGCTATCTCATGGGTTCACATTTTAAATGACAAGTAGTTAGGGACACAGAATGTACGTCAGTAACTTATTAATATTAATGTCTGCATGCTGTGAGGAAACTAATTATTTTTTCCCGCAGTTGGAAGAGTGATGTCAACAGTACAACTTTGGATGGGAGTCAGAAATGTATTGCCAGAGTGCTAGCTATTCTCAGGCAGAATTAAAAAAATAAAAAAAAACGGGGACGCATGTGGGGAAAAAAAAAAACAAGATGCTGTCAAGTTCAAATGAACAATATACACAGTATTTGGCACCGCGTTTGAAAATATTTTCATGCAGATGAACTCCATTATCCAAAGTCTATTAAAGAGGAATATCAGTCAGCTTGAATTCTCACATATATTTGTGCTCGGAGACAGTCTATTCATTGTTTGTGAATATGAATTCTCTCCTAAGCTGCAGGCTAGTGAACCAAGGATTTAGGCGTGTTATGGATGTGAAGGCTGCTGCTGCTATTGACTATGAATGACAGGCTAATTTTGGCAAGCAGGAGAGTGTTTGTATGAATTTTTTGCATTCAAATGGGCTTCGTATCAGAGGTATGTGCTATTAATCCCTTTAGAAAAAAAAAAGAAATGTTTAAATCTCCTCTCCCCTACTTTGAAATTCATTGTTTCTGTGCGTCGGCTGCAGGAGGCTCGCCGTGCAGCCTTCCAACTCCTCTGCGACATGAGACGAGCACATTTCATTACTGTTATTCAGAACTGTGGCTGTTCAAACACACTTCTGTGTTCACACTGTAATAATTAGGCCAGTGCAATTTCAGACCATGTCACACACCACAGGAATTGCATTTTTTTTCTAAATCTTTTGATTATATTCTCCAAGAGGTTTTTTTTTTTTTTATCTGATTATTACCATATTTCTGAGTCTTGGTTGTTAATCCTGCAAAAAAAAAAAAAAAAAAAGGAAGCGGAGGAGCAAGAAAACAACAAACAACACACCATCAAAGGAGCCTATACCTATGCAGCCAAGCTGTCTACTAGATAATAGGAATTTTACAGTCTTTGCAGAACCATGTGTTTTGCATATTTCCTTCAGTCTAGATTGAAGCCTGCGAGCCTTCACCCTCGTGCACTCGTGCCGGTTATTGGGTATTTACATAGCGTATGGGTAAAAGCACTCCCTCCCCATGGCCACATACACTCCTGACTGAGTGCTACTGTAAATAAGGAGGAGTTCTGCATAACTAAGCGATGTTAGCGTGCGATAACGTGCCGTCTAAAAATAAAAAGTGCTCCGGTTATCTGTACGAGGCGAGGCGGCACCGTGCCAGCAGCGTGGAGCTTTAGGATTTGATTTCTGCCGGGATGTCCCACAGAAACTATATAAATTTAATGCAGTCACTTGAAGCGTGGAGACTAATGGATTTTTATTGACATACACCAAAAAGTGAGCCTCCGTATGCCGAAGTGTGCTAAACTCTGCGTGATAATCTCGTACAGCCCTGGAAAAAAAAAAAAAACCAGGAAAAACCTGACATTGATACTGTGGCACAAAGTGCTTTCACACAGCCCTAACAAAATCAAATGTTAGCACTACCACACTATATTTGCAGAGATTTAGTGGCTCTCCTTTCAAGGCCTTGCAGCACAAACACAGCCTTTTCAAGGCCTTACAACAGAAGCACAGAAGAGAGCCTTGATGAGTTAAATCGCCTTGCACAAACACTGAGGAATTGTCAGTAAAGCAGCGAATCATTGGCAATTCTTGTCAGGTCTCTGGTAAGCATTGCTCGCTGCTGCAAAGAGGAGATAGCAAAATAGAGCGCAGAACGGATACAGAATAATTACTCTTCCTTCTCCCTCCGTCTGTCTCTTAAGACATAGGCACAAAAAAAAAATTCTTTACTACGAGAGCGCTGTACGACAATGTACACTATGTAGGTTAAGGTTACAGCTTACAGTGTCTCTTTGTGTTTTCTGCAGCAACTTCTGAAAAATTCATGCAGAGCAGCATTGAGCGAGGCCTTGCAACACAAATATATATATATATAAATAAATCCCAAGGATACTTATTGTCAAAATATTACCACAACAAAGTGAGCTTCCTTGAATATTTTAATTTGGGGCAGCACATTTTGTTTACAAGGCAACAAGACAATGCAGTGTACCAGGAATTTAATAGGATTTAGCTCACTTCAAACGCACCAACTCAAACGCTCCAGAATCCCAAAGTTTGCGGTCGTATTGCTCGGCGTTGCAAGCATTCACAGCAACTCCGCAGCCCTGATTAAGAAGTAGGGCACCACAGCTGCACACAGTGAGCGCTCACACTCATTAATGGCCCCGTGAAAGTCAGTTAAAATGAGATTTGCGGGTTTTTTTCTACACTCTGCGCGCTTCGTGAAATAAACTGTGCATTTTTTTTTCTTTCTCTTCTCCTCCCTCCCCGTTGTTGGCAGTTGAACCCGAGCAAAGGGGAGCAGGATGTTTAATAATGAAGTTATTTGTCTCCCATCATCCTGCGAGGTATCAGTCAGCACTATTCAGCCTGTAACCCTCAAAGCCGAGCGTCTCTTTTTTTTTTTTCTTTCTTTCTCTCGAGCACCTCGACGAGCGACGCGAGTCGCATTTATTATATATTTCGGAGAAAAGAAGAAGAAGAAAAAAAAAAGTGCAGCCAAGACCGTGACCGAGTCTTTACATCACGTTTGATTGCCATAATCAAGAAATCAACCTCAAGTGACAGTCGGTGAGTGTGTGTGGGTTGATTAGAGAGGTTTGATTGAATGTGAAATAAACAAGGTCTCCCACAGTGCACTGCAAAGGCCATTAAGTGATCTTTATGTGGAAGACCATCAAGGCTTTGATGGCTTTGTGCCGGGCATGAGAGTGCTTTTTTGCATTTGGTTTAGATTCCCTTTTTTGTTGCATTAATCACTGATTCTTTCATGCTTTCTGTATCACTATATCACACTGAATCGCCACTTTTTGCTTGATAGATTGCAGCAGGTATGCTTGTTTTCTATCCTTTATGCATCAAACTATCCCCTCGTCTTCAACTCTGCAAAGTTTAAGTGATGGAATTAGTGATTTGTATCACCACAGGTCCTCCCTGTGAAGCAGAATGGAAGCATGTGCCTGCCCTATTTCCCCCCCATCCATCCTCCATCCATCCTCCATCCTCCTCCTGCAGTAATTTATTACAGCCTCGTGTTTTTCTGACAGTTTAATAGTGAATGATATTGGACACAGGAAGAGTGTGGAGCTGGTGAATGTGATTGCTGTCATGCCACAGAAGTTGGGTGCCAGAAAGCATCAAAAGACTCTGGGAAAAAAAAAAGAAGAAGAAGCCACATCGCACCAGTGGCTGACACCTCACCGGATGGCCCCATTTGTAGTTAGCGTTTGCTTTGCTGCTTCATCACATAACACAACAAGGTGAATTTCATTGCCCCCCTCTCCCGCCTCCCTCTTGATTGATATGTTTTCCTCCTCATCCTTCTCTCCCCTTTTTAAACTCTTTTTTTTTTTTCCCATTTATTTTTTTTTTCGCCGCATCAGGATGATGGTTTCTGCAAAAAGAAGTTGTCATATCCCCCTACTCAACCTTGCACGAGACACTTGTTTACTCCAGAGAATGAGGTGTGTGATGAAAGCGAGCTTCCTCTGAGAAAATTGGCTGTCGACAGTCACCTCATTTTCCTCCCTCGAGTTGATAACTGTAGCGTTCCCCCATCGCACCTGTCTTTGTAGCGCTAGCACGGGTGAGCTGACAAGAACCTCTCTCTCTGTGATCTGGTGTGGGTGGAGAAGAGCGCGCCATTGTCCCCAAACGCTGCCATTTTTTAAAAATTTTGTTTTTCGGCCTTCAGATTCGAGTCGCCTTGGCCTCCTGCAACAAGAAACTATTTAAACGCGCTTTTGAAAGATTTCAATTAGCGAGCAGTAGGTGTCACTGTCTGCTCGTCGCACTTCCGTTTGTGTTTTTGTTTTGTGTGTCACATCCGTCACGACGTCCTCGAGGGCTCATTTAGCGACGAAGAAGTCTTTGTTTTGAAAAAGGGGGTCTCGCCCACAGCCTTGGGCTCATGAATCCTTTGCTGTTATTGACTGATTTGAGCAGCGATTGTGACGCTTTTTTTCCCCACCGCCTGAAATGACTTTAATATTCGCCGTTAATAAAGCCGCGCATTGTTGTTTCTCTGTTATCGGGGAGATAGTCGTGTTGCACTGATGGCACCTGCCCAATAAGTAATCAATGGGAGTTTGATTTTTAGATATAATGGTGCGTTTTCACCGAGCAAACAGTGTGATTAAAAGTAGACTCGAGGGGAGGGGAGAGTTTGTTTTGCGCCTATCTGATGGTTTAGCTGCGCCTGTAGCCGCCAGCTTTCTGGCAGCCCCATTCATCTTCAGCCAGTTACATCTTCAACAAGCTTAAACGCCCTCTAATTAGTCTGCGCTGCTTGGACACGTTACCTTGCCGACATACTGATGGTCATTTCCCGTGTATTCCTCCAGCAGAAAGAACTGATTCCACATCCATCCACGTTTGGAGCGCTGGAGGATCTTGCCGTCGCTCTCCGGCGTCCCAAACACATTCCCAATATTCCCAGGCGTCAGAGGAAGGGCAGCGCTGGGCCGCGGGATCGAGAGCATCAGGAGCGGGAGCAGGATCTGATTGGCTATCATGGTATCCAGTCAGGCTTAGGGGGGGGAAGTGTCCTGGGCGACTGGTGGATTACGGCGATAGGCTGCTGGAAGGTAGCGTCACCAGAACAGACATTGTATTCCGTTTCTTTGATGTCCTTTGGATCCCTGCGAGAAAGAAGAAGAAGAAAAAAAAAGTAGGAAACTGGAGTCAAGAAGCACGTCATGACACTTATGTATCTCTCTTACAATATCCTTTAAATCCTAGCATGGTAGAGGGACCACTGGAATAGCAGGCGGCTTACAGCAGCATGCCCGGCAGCCTGGTGCACATTTACTGTACTCTTCCTTTCAGTTTGGGCTTTTTGCAGGGCAGCAGCTATGGAAATTATGCAATTACCAAACAGGAATGTCTTCTGTGGGCTTTGTGCAAGGCAGGAAGGTGAGCTTAGAAGTTTAGCATCGAGTAGAAAAATAAAATTAATGAAACCATCCAAACCTCATTCGGAGATTATTCTCAGTTAAATCATCTAATAATAATAAGAGAAAGTATTCAAAACTAATGCAGCGGAACTCATTAGACAAACTTGTGATAAATGATTTGGAGGGAGAAAAAAATAAAAAAATCAGAAGACGCCATTGCAGTACGAATGTATCACCAAAGGACTGCAATAATCCCAGTGTCAAATCAAGTTTAATCACCCATGCTCCTTGTTTTGTATTAAAATCAGCCGGCTTTGACGTATCCATAATGTGCTTTATGAGAGGTGCTTATTTATTTAACACTAATTCAGACACTCTATAGAAACCACATGCACCTCCTTTAGTGCACCTTTTAGCGGCAGATGATCTTATTCCGTGGACTTGACAATCAGACCTACCCATCAGCCGTCCCTCCTCTTCCTTCATATAAAGGAGTGCAGCAGCACTCCGCTAATTATACGTTGCATTACTGATGATATGAAAACACTGATGACACGCTTCAAAGCCCCGACGAGCATGTTTGGTTGGCTTAATACTGGCGTCTCTGGGGGGCAGAGTGCCTCTGACATGAGCAAAATACAACACGCTCCTTTGAAAAATTTCCTCTTTTTTCCCCTTGTACTCTGCGTCACACTCTCTTACATTGCAAAAAGAAGCTCCAGAGCCACTAACACATGTAGAAATGGATTGTCTTGCTGAAGGGAAATGTGTCTCCTCCATCCAGTTCGTCTCCTCGTTTTTTTTTTAGCCTCGCCTCGTTTTATTTTTTTCATTTTTGCATCCATTACTGATGCTTAATTTCATAGACTTTTATCCCCCAAGATGTGATGATGTACTCCTAAAGGAGGCGTATAGACATGTAGTGAATTGCCAAAACTGCCCAAATTATCCCCAGGTATCTGTCAGGCTTTGTGCCCCGGCGATAAGGGATTTTGTGTTATTGGCAGTCTTCTTCCAATACTTCACTACAAGGCTGTGTCCCCACCAGGCCTGGTCCTGATAGGTAATTTGGGTGTGCATGCATAATTTATGGTCTTTTGGAAGTTAATCCTAATAAATCTTTCCTCTCTTTCTAAAAAGAACCCATTTAGAGAAGGGTTCCCGTTGAAAAAGGGGGCTGGAGAGTTATCCTGACAAGCGTTCATTCTGTGTACCTCTGGGGGAACGTTAAAAAAAAAAAAAAAAAAGGCACAGGTTCGGCAATTCTTCCGCTTTTGTTCGGAAGGAATTAAATAAGGAGCGTAATGTCAGCGGAGTTATTGGCGCGAACAAAAGGATCCGTGGCTGTCTACGAACAAATTAGCATCGCGGTTCCATTGATTGAAAGTGGAGTGTCAAATATAAATGAATGTGATCCTTTTGAATAGCAAATCAAAACATGTCGCTAATGAAATCTCCACGTACGACGTCGCTCGCTCTGTTTATTCTGAGCAACTTAAGACACTGCAGCTGTTTAATCAGCGCTAATTTTCGTAAAAAAAAATCAAACTGGATGATCTTTTTGACTTGAGCTGATCAAAGTTTCTTGTGGATAAACATTTATTAGTGAAATCTCTCCTGGTAGCAGCAGCAGCAGCTTCACTGGCCTGGAAGAGCTCATCCCAAACCTTTTCAAGAATCCATAAAGATGCCCGACCACAGGGCTATGAGTTAGAACAGTGCTGACAGTACAGAGTGTTTAATTTTGTCAAAGTACCGCCACAGTACTGCGGAGATAAAAAAAAATGTAGATGGAGTCGTAAATCGCTGATCGCTGCTACATTTTTTATGTTATTTTCTTGCTGGTGATGTGACACGAGTGTGACACGTGCCTTTGCCGGAATCAGGAAACGCCGCCTCGCAATTAATCTAGTCTGATGCTTGTGATTGCATTTTCTAATTATCATTCCAGCCTGTCCTTGAGTTTTAATAGCATTCTGGATATTAATCTTTGATGTGGCGTGCCTGTTAAGCATTAGGCCAGTGTTTCCTTTCAGAATTCTTCCAAACACTCCATTAAAGGATGAGTGAGCGCGCTGAATCCACGCCAGATCTTATGGACTCCGGCTGAATTATCTCAACTTATTCAGCTTATTAAACAGTGGGGGGGAAAAAAAGAAGAAAAAATAATAAATAAAGTTGTTTATGATTAGATTAAGTTGTTGGCAGCTTATGTGGCTTGGCATTAAAAGACACAGATGTGAAGGGACAAAATTGTTAAATATGCTTTTAAGTGTTGTCTCGGGTTGTTCTTCTTCTTAATCTTGGCCGAGACACGTTCTGGCAGGAGCTCCGCTGTGCTCCATTTCTGTAATCTGCAAATTATACATTCTTGTTTAGCTGAATAAGAATATCTTTGATCAGATATAAACTAGCTGTTCATCAGGATATGCTTCCTAGAAAAGCACAGCCTTGCACATTAGTCTGTATCATTTTTTTCTTTTTTTTTCTTGCATCCCAAATTTGAAAATGCAGTCTTCCTACCCCCCTCCAAAAAAAACACTGAATACTGCAACTAAGCACTTTTCTGGATCCTCAGACTTCACTAGGACAATAATTGTGGGTGCAATATGCAGCAGGAGTCTGGTTGGTGGAGCTCTTTAAGAGGTCCCACATGCAAAATAGATTCAGATTTTCAGCCGTAAAGTCTGCGTTGCTGCAACTTTGCCTCCTAAATATCCATTTATTGTACGAGCACGTGTTCTCCAGGCAGGCAGTGGGCATGTTTTCATCATCACGCACAAGAAGCCCCATATTTCTCTCTCTCTATATATATATATAGCAACTAAAAGAACTTCATTAAGAGCCGCTCTGCCTCACCACTGTCTTCAATTGTCCTCCATATTATCACAGCAGCACATTAATACCTACACATGCATGCATTCGTACACAAACGCGGCGTTACGTAAGGGAGGGGCGACACAATCCAGCGTCAGCTACCCCAGAACCGCCTACCTCCTCCACAAATATCGACCCAGTTCGAAAACCCGCTGCCTTCTAGAGAAAACATTTGGATGCCGGCGTTGCGTTCGAGGAATTCAACAAGTGAATGCATGGGAACCGTAAATAAACACAGACAGACAGAGAGGGAGGTGATGTAATTGGGAGGGAAGATGGAGAGAGGGCAGAGGGAGGTTGCAAGGTCATCACAGGGGGTGCCATGATTAGTCCCGGCCACCTTTTGTACTGTTTGCTCAATAGCCTGATTTATCGAGAGTGTTTTCTTTTTTTTTTTTTTTTTTTTGCAGCGACAAATACTCGGCCCGTACATGCGAGGTGGGTGCTAGAAAGCGGCGTGATGTGATTGGCAGTTTGAGTGGCTCCAGTGATTGCTCGCCTGGTATTGACAGGCCGCCACAGACGGGAGTATAAATCTAGCATGAGGGGCGTCGATGCACCAAAGATGCGGCACCTGCGCCAGCCTCCACTTGGTGGAGCCCTAGACCTTCCTTAGCTCCTGCCTCCGCCTGGCTGCGGTCTTTGGCAAACCTCAGCAAGCTTTACTCATGTTTTGAAATCCTCAAAGCAATTTTGTGATACAGTGCACACTTCCTCGTTGAAAAGCTACTCCGAGGGGTTTTTTTTTTGGGGAGGGGGTAGGAAGGATGGAGGGAGGCTCTTTCTTGAAAAGGTTGACAGTGAAAGGGTAACATGAAATCCACTCTACATATTATTTAGAGGAATTGTTTATGTCGGCTTTGCCTTGAGGAGGCTGCATGCATTCTAACAAGGTGATAATGAAGTCTTCCAGGTTGCCAAACTGCAAGAAAACCACACAGTCCTCAAAGAGAAAAATTCAAATTCAACCAGAGCTGGACTAAAACATCCACAATACTTTGATTATTTCCTCAAGAAAACACCCAGATCGCCTTCTCCTTGTTTACTGCTGCCTCACTGACATGTATGGTGTTTTTGCAAATAAATATTCATGTGTGATCCATTGCACACAAAAAATAAAAAATAAAAAAGCAGCAGCAGCAGCTATACAGCGATGCTCCTGGGAGCCTCTCTGCATCCCTGTGTGGGAGAGCGGATTTGCACCTCTTCTCGTTTTAATGCTGAAAGGTCACTCCGCATCTAACGATAATTCAGGGAGCATGTTAGTGGCTAATTTGCGCTAAACAATAATGGCGTTACATGGGTGACCTGGTGCAAGCTGCTGAGCCCTAATATATATCACTTTGGTGACTGTAAAGCTGTCTGAGGCAGCAAACAGGAGGAGGAGGAGGAGGAGTGAGAGGCTGGATTAAGTTTGTGCTGTGGAAGGATATGCACATGTACATCCCCTGTAACACCGCCAAAAAAAAAATAAAAACACCATCATGCATTTTCTTCCAGATATGAACGCCACGGTGCCTTCTCCATCAAATCTGCCCACAGCACATCACAAGCATGATTCGCCCTCAGCAGACACACAGCTCGGCTTTGGATGCTCGAAAAGGCGCACAGACAAACCAGCAAACCGCCGCACATGTGCGCCCGGACAGGTGCGTGCGTCTACTGTACACATGCACAGTGCGGAGAACGGCCGCCGGAGCACTTTGGAACGAGCGGCAAACTTAACGCGAGTCTGCACGGAG